TTCACTGTTATGTTGGCGAGGATGTGGAGATAGAGGTACAATGTTTCACTTATGGTGGGAGTGTCACAAAATCCAAGAATACTGGGAGGGTATAGTACGCATAATTCAGGAAACACTCTGGTGTGCTGGATTTTCAAGCCTGCTCTTGAGTCAGGGAAACTTTCCTATAAAAACATGAAACATTTTCAAGATGGATGCCAGCCTTAATGGCTGGGGAGAAGTCTTGGATACCCTCTTGGTGCAGGGAGCTTGGTCACCAGAGGAAGCCCATCTTCCCATCAACATCCTAGAACCCAGGGTGATTCACTTTTACCTTAAACAGTTAATTCTTAGAAATGTAGTAGAAATAGTGAGCGCTCCTTAAAATAGCCGCTAAAAACACCAAAAGGTGGTAAGATAAACCTTCAAATGAATCAATATAAATATGAATATAGGTGCAGCACTAATAAATATATATATAATAAATGTATATCCAATAATAAAAGCAAATTATGTATAAAATAGTCTGGTAATATGAAAATAAATATGTTCATGTGATAAATCCAAAGGGAAGTAAAATCAGCAGCAGATATAGAGTAGACTTGTGACACCAACCAGTAGTAAAAGTGCGCACTCACTGGAAGCGCATATATAATGCGCATGTAATATTATAACCACCAGGATGACTAGGTAGGCAGATAGGTAGGCAGGACAAGTAGGTGAACTTCCATCTATGGAATGGTCATCAAGCCTTAGGAAATGGTTGGAATCTGCTGGATCCAGGAGGTCCCCTTAACCACTTGCCTACCAGGCACTTATACCCCCTTCCTTACCAGGCCAATTTTCAGCTTTCAGCGCTGCCGCACTTTGACAATTGCGCGGTCATGCAACATTGTACCCATATGAAATTTTGATCATTTTTTTCTCACAAATAGAGCTTTCTTTTGGTGGTATTTAATCGCCACTGGGCGCTTTACTTTTTGCGCTATAAATTAAAAAAAGTGCAAAAAATTTGAAAAATAAAAAAAGTTTATTTGTTTCTTTTATAAAATTTTTCAAACAGGTATTTTTTCTCCTTCACTGATTTGCTTTGATGAGGCGGCACTGATGGGCACTGATAGGCGGCACTGATAGGCAGCACTAAAGGGCACTGATAGGCAGCACTAATGAGGTGGCACGGATAGGCGGCACTGATAGACAGCACTAATTAGGGGTCACAAATAGGCGGCACTGATATGCAGCACTGATAGGCGGCACTGATAGGTGACACTGATAGGCGGCACTGATAGGTGACACTGATGATGGGTACTGATAGACGGCACTGACTGGCATCACTTCTGGGCACTGACTGGCGGCACTGACTGGCACAACCCCTGGGCACTGACTGGCAGCACTGCTGGGCTGCACTGGTGGGGTGGGCACAGGTGGGTGGCACTGGTGGGCACAGGTGGGTGGCACTGGTGGGCGGGCACAGGTGGGTGGCACTGCTGGGCACATGTAGGTGGCACTTCTGGGCACAGGTAGGTGGCACTGCAGAGTGGCACAGGTGGGTGCACTGCTGGGCACAGGTGGGGGCACTGCTGGGCACAGGTGGGGGCACTGCTGGGAACTAGTGGGCAGGGCTAGTGGGCGCACTGCTGGGCGGAACTTGCGGATGTCACTGCTGGGCACCGATCATCAGGGCACTGATCATCAGTGCCCTGATGATCGGTGCCGATCCCCGCTCTGACAACTGCCGATTCTCGGCAGTACTTTCCTCACGATCTGACAGCGTGAGGAAAGTGCAGCCGAGAACCGGCACTTGCATTTCCCTGTGATCAGCGTGTCATTGGACACCGCTGATCACGTGGTAAAAGGCCGGTGGGATCGGCCTTTCACCACATCACGTGATCAGCTGTGTCCGTAGGACACAGCGATCACGGAGATCGTCGGGTGCGCGCCCCCTGGGGCGCGTAGGAGAGCGCGTTCTGGGAGGACGTCATATGACGTCCACTCAGAACTGGCCGGCCGCGGTGAAGCCGTCATTCGGCTATGCGCGGTCGGCAAGAGGTTAAGGATGGACTAGGTGCTCAGCCTGAGTACAGAGCTCCCTTCCTCTGGTTGTGGCCTTTGCTGTTCTGCATCAGAGACTTTTGGCCTCTCATTCTTTAGTTAACCATTTTCCAACTGCCCTATAGCAGAAATACTGCTACAGGGCGGCACGGGTGGCCAAAACCACATGTGTGTGTATGTGTATATATATATATATGAATGATGTTGTATTTCCAGGTAGGCGGTGTGCGCCCTACCTGCGCTGCCATTCGTGGCTGTCAATCACGGGTGATTACCGAGGATCTCCGACTGGGTGGACAACTGTTTTGTTTACTAACATTTCTCCTCCCTGTCAGCTGGCTGTGCACAGCACAGCCATCCAAAGCAGTGTGATTACAGTGAAGCACACAGGCACTAGTAAAACACTCCCTGCACACAGTTAACACCTTGATCACCCCTCATGTTAACTCCTTCCTGCCCAGTGCCATTAGTTACAGTGTCAATGCTTTTTTTTTCAGCACTGAGCAATGTATTGGTGTCACTGAGGATGTCAGTGATACCAAATCAGTTCCCCTCAGTGTCAGAATGTCCACCACAGTACCGCTACAAGTCGCTGATTGCCTCCATTACTAGTAAAAAAACAATTAAGTAAACCAATTCATTTACATGTATTGGGTTTTTTTTTTTTTAGCAAAGACGTAGCAGAATACATTTTTGACGAAATTTGATTTATTTTTTTTTTATTTTTTTAATGTACATGATTTATAGCAAAAAGACAAAAATATATATATATTTTTTTTCTTTTTATAGCGCAGAAAATAAAAACTGCACAGGCAATCAAATTCCACCGAAAGAAAGATCAATTCGTGGGGAAAAAGGACGTAAATTTCATTTGGGTGCAGCATTGCATGACTGCGCAATCGTCAGTGAAAGTAACGTTAGAAAAGGCCTGGTCAGGAAGGCGTGAAAATCCTCAGGAGGGCAAGTGGTTTAAAGCATTTGTGCAGGGTGTTGCACGCATCTCTCCCACTGTATATTCCCTTGTGATTGGATGGGTGGCCTCTGAAAGGCAAAAAGAACCAAGTTAAGACCCCATAACCTGGTTCTTTTGATTGTTCAGAGGTCACCCTTATCTGACCCTACCTGAAAGGGTGCCCTCTCATTGCTTTCACCGCCGAGAGGTTGGCATCTTCATCCTGTAAGGAGCCTTTCCTAATGGTACAGGAGGACAGGGTTGTCCTGAGGCCTAAATCTTCTTTTCTTCCTAAGGTGGTTTCCTCCTTCCACCTCAACCAGGACCTTGTCCTTCAATCCTTACAGCCTGCTTTGAAACATCCCCAAGAAAACTTCTGTCCACTGTCTTGATGTGGTACGCATCTTCACGGTCTCTAACCTACAGCCTCTCTCAGACAATTGGAATTCATCCTTTGTGCTTCTTGAGGTTTTCCCGCAGGGGGCTCCCTGCTTCTTGCGCCACCATTGCTTGGTGGATTAGACAAGTCCTTATTCAAGCCTCATGGACTTTTCAGCAGCAGGCATCTTTTTCTCAGATTTGCAAGGCTGCCCCCCAGTCTTCTGTTCATGCTTTTTTAGCTTTGCCAAGTGAATGCTCAGGCCTTCTCTGATGCCAGTTTCAGGCATAAGATGCTACAAGCTGCTGAGTCTGTTAAGCCCTTCTTGACCCGTTTTGGGTCTGTTTGCTTGCTTTGTTGCCCATCCCTCAGTTGGACTTCTTTTTAGATGTATGTCTAACAATTATAGGATTTTTGACTTTACTGCAGACTGAAATGGTTTACACTGGTAACAGGCCCCCTCTCTTTGATTACCTTATTTATTGCTTGCAGAGTATGAGAGGTGTTCTATATGGAATGTCCCTATTTTGTAGGGTTTGTTTTTTTTTTTGGGGGGGGGGGGGTTGCCAGTGTTTAATTGCCTCAAGGTAGCTGCATATAACCTATAGTTAAAGGTCAAAGTTTGTGTGTCCTGCACTGTACTCCAAAAAATAGATTTTACTTGCATTTCAGTTTTTTTTTTTTTTTTTTTTTTTTTTTTTTTCTAAGGCTTCTGGCTTTAATCAATTTCAGGAAATACCTTGCCTACATTCTGTAACCTGCTGACTAATGTCACGCATTTGAAATCCCAGTATTTGGATGTCTACCTAAGTACCTTGCATTTACTAAAGCATTCAGAATATCTAAAACTGTTTTTCTCCCATATTTGTGCACATAGAGCTGTCAAGCTTCAAAGAACTACATTACTAGATGCGTTTTAATGTTCTATCCAAGAAGCCTATAATGTCATGCATTTGTATGTGCCTTCTGTTATCTCTGCATAGGTCCTGAAGCTGGTACCTCCTTCATAACTGATCTGTAAAGCAGTGACATCAGCTGGCCTGCTTTATTAGTTATTGCCAAGACTGTGTCTCCTGCAGAATAGGCTTTTATAAGAATAGTTCTCCAGGCTGCAATCCCACCTTAGTCTAGTACATTCACATTTATCCCTTTCAGTATGCCCTGGAAGGTATCTTGGGAAAACTTAAGTTGGTCTCACTGGCTATTCAGTTTTCAGAAGACTTCCAGGACTTTTCCCTATTTGTTTTCTGGTGTTTTTTTGTCTGTCCTGTGGTCCCCTGTGAAAACTAACCAGCAATCTTGTGGGACCTCTATTTAGATACCTTATTGTGAAGGGTTTCCTGCTTGTGATGGAAGAAGCCTTTCTCTCAAGTGCTATCCTTGAAGTTTCCTGGAAATCCAGTTACTGTGTGGAGGTCATCTTTAAGTTTTTTTTATTTCTCCTTTGTACAAAGTGTATAACAAGAGAGCCGTACGTAAAAAATTTAAATATTTTGTGTTTTTAATGCAAGAATTCTGAAATGTCATTATCTTATTTTTAAAAGGGGGGGTCCCAGTGGGGTGTGGACTTTGGAGGAGAAAGGTCTAAATCCAAAATTTGATACAACATTTGAAAATGCCAGTCCCTCTATAACACACATGGCACTTCTACAACTACAGAGAGTTGGTATCTTGGAGTTTTTGGTCAGTCAAAATGTGGATGGTCTACATTTAAGGTCTGGATTTCCCAGGTAAGCTATGTTGCAATATTTGTGTTTGGTGTCTTTAAATTATGGAGCCCACGACTAAGTAAAGCCTTTCATTTGCAGGGAACAGCTTGCAGAACTCCATGGAAACATGTTTGTTGAGGAGTGCACCAAATGTGGCAAGTGAGTATGTTTTTGTTTGAAAGTGGACATGTACTATATAACCAAGATACGTAGGAGGTACAGAAGTCATCTAAGTAATCTGGCCCCTCTTTCCCTTGCCTTACATTTCTCCAAATGAAAAACTGCTTCTCTTTTCATGCTATGTCTAGCAGAGTGGATGACAAGACTCCATGGTTTAAAGAAGTATGAGAAAGCTTTTAGCCCTTGGCCCTACTACAGCAGTGTAGTTTGTTCTGCAATCCTGTGACCTGCTTTCGGCTGACATCACTCAGCAGGTCCAGGCTCTGTAAAGATTCTTTCTTTGCAATCAGTATCCACCCAGATGCCTGGATTGGCATCTGCTCTGCCTCTCAGCAACTGAGAAAATCCGCTCCCTCCACAGCCTGGAGCAGCTGGAGGGACAGAGCTGAGAACCGATGTCTTACAGTCACCGACTCTCCACTGACTGAAGATTGAGAATCTAAACAAATCCTTTAATAGTAGAAATGAGAAACAATGGGGGGGGGGGGGGGATAATTTTTTCTATAAAAAGTCATCTTGTGGTAATATCCAGATTTTGCATGTACAGCATTATTACAAAGGACTGGTACTTTTGGGTGTGCCCAAAAAGGCAAGTGAAGAGTAGAGGACTAGTCAACTCTTTCACCTGTAGCTTTTTTCCTCTGTTACTGACTTACCACGCAGTCTTCCATGTTGTCTCTGTGGAGACAGCCAGCTTGGTAGAGGAGTATGGCTTTGCTTCCTCATGTCAGAGTTGCCCACTTGAAACCTGGTGATCCGGTGACTACTGGTGTCATGATCTAGAAGCCACAGGAGATGTGGACTGAAATTCATGCACTGCAGATAATCAGGTACAGCTTTCAGGAAAGCCCTCAGGGTAATAAAGTGAGATCCCAAATTTCTTTGTATTAGGAATTAGAAGCAATCATGCCCTAAAAGATCTCACATTGCAGATACAGTATATTGCTATTTGATGGAAAAAGAGTGCTTATGCACAGTAACATATCAGGATGTGCACTACTCTTTGTGGAAGAATTCCACAAGAAAAGGTACTTTTTCTCACTATTGCATTGACACAGTTAACATTTCTAAATGTTCCTTATAGAAAAGCAAGTCATGATGTTTTGAGTTCAGGTATACTTGAGGCATATTTTGTAAAATGTTTTTTTTTTTTTATAGAAGACAATTCTAAATGTATTCCACATCAAACTGTAGAATATTTGATGATGCCAACCTCTTACCTTTTAGACAATATGTTCGAGACTGTGTTGTGGGAACGATGGGATTAAAACCTACTGGAAGACTTTGTGATGTTCCCAAAGTTAGGGGCCTACGGTCATGCAGGTAAGCAAAAAATTAGAGATGTATGAATTTTTGTGTTAAAATGGTAAACAAAACTATTTTTGTATTGCATTTACATGGTATAAATGGTACAGTATTTCATTAATAAGTGTATTTTTCAGAGATTACTTGTGACATAATTGACTGTAATCGTCTCTTAGAGGAAAGCTGATTGATACTATTCTGGATTGGGAGGATTCTTTGCCTGACAGAGATTTAAATTTAGCTGATGAAGCCTGCAGGTAATTTGAAATTAGATCTCCGTAACTTTAATATCCAAAGCCTAACATTTTCTTACTGGCTCTGCTTTTCTTCTTTTTTTTTTTTTTTTGCATAGAAAAGCAGATCTGGCAATCACACTTGGAACATCACTTCAGATTAAACCCAGTGGAAATCTTCCTCTTTTAACCAAGCGTAAAGGTGGAAAGTTAGTCATAGTCAACCTGCAACCAACCAAGCATGTGAGTTTTAACATTCTTTCTACTAACTTTTCTGAGTATGCTTTTGTATGCTCTGTATATTAGTGTTAAGAGATTAGGAGATTAACAGAACTGTTTGTAAATTTTTTTGAGTCGTGAGTGCCCGTTCAGAACAAATACAAAGTAACACGAATATTTTATTTTTATTCTAAGTCTGTGTTTGACAGCAGTTGCTCAAGTGAGTCCTTGCTGTTGTTTTAACAATCATGAAATGCCAGGAATAGTGGAAGCTGCAAAGATGAGGAAAGGTAAAGGGGTTAAAGGGAAACACTTGCTGCAGCCTTATGGATGTGATTGGCAGCTACTTCCACAGAGCAGCACAGATGTTTCAGCCAATCGGAGCAGCTGGTGAATAAAAGCACAAAGGAGGGTGCACAGCTCTGGAGTGTTTGAACATGAGCTAGCAGCCATTCGATCACATTCAGAGCTGTGCACATCCGTTAGCTTGAACATATAACTGTGAGAATAGCCAAGCCATTGACCTGGGCAGGTACTGGAGAGTTGAGGAAAGTGGAAAGACAGCGCTAGACCTCAAGGTACACTCCAATTGTATTATCTTAAGATATTATGTTGGTGTAAATGATCTGGTTTCTGGACAGGCAGCTTCTACACCCCAGAGGATCTCCACAGTCTCCCTGGCTTGTAGTGTATTTTAAGCAAACTTGAAATTGAAGCACCACACCGCTGTTAAAGATCAGGGGTATAATTTAAAAAGTAGCCAATGCATTTCGGGCGTCCAAGTGCCCCCTTCATCAGGGTTAAAAGAAACATAAGATTTTTATTTCAATCTGACATCAATACAATGTCCCCTTAAAGGAGTCATAATTAAAACCACAGTCAATCATAATGAGAGTATCAAAAAAATGTTTTACATAAAAATGAGAACATGAGTGCTGAAAAAAAAAATGTATAATCATTATTGTTAAAATGGTATGTTGTGGTTGATATGTTGGCCTAATATAAAAGAGAAGAAAATAAATACATAGATTAATTGAAAAACATTGAGTAAAAATGTTGACATTGTATTGATGTCAGATTGAAATGAACATCTTATGTTCTTTTTTAGCCCTGATGAAGGGGCACTTGAACCCCCAAAACACGTCTGCTTCTCAACTTATACCTCTGACCTTTTAAATGGAATAAAGTTGTATCTGGACCTCTTAACAGTGGTGTGGCGCTTCAATTTCAACTTTTCTTACAAGGTACTGGAGAGGTCACTTTAAGCAGAAGTAGGATTACATCTGACAAAACCAGATATAAGGATTAATAATGGAAAGAGCAGATAAATGGTTACTGAATTAAAGCAAGACATTGTAGACTTGTGGATACAATCAGCAGCTGTGCAGGTAAGCAGCCAAGTTTACACACTGTTTGGACGTAATTGACAGCTTGTTAGCTGCTGATTACATCCTTTCAGCAAATCGGAACAGAGTCAGGTACCATTTTAATGGAAATTCATGGTTGCAGAAGGTACTTTGAGCTTATGAGCTTAGAAAATGCAGCCAATGTTACTGTTACTGACCTGGCCAGCTGTTGGGCAGTTCTATTCTGTCGTAACCCTTTTGTCGGTGGCAGCGAAAAGGTTAAGTAAAACTTCTTAACCATATTTTCTTTTTTTCAATTGAAGGGACGCAGCATTTCACATTCATGAACCTTGGGGCATACTCCTGATATGCAGATTGGGTACTAGGCAGAAAAAGACTGAGGCTGGTCCCTAAGCCCATAACCTCGTTTTTATCTACACTTTGTTTATTGTCCTCACATTGATTGGAGATCCTTCCCATCTTTTGTTTGAAGTAGTGATTCTTCAAAACAGACCCACCCTTTTTATTTATTTATTTTTTGTTTGGAGTGCATAGATACCACCTTAAAATCCATACCTTCATTTAACGTGCTGGTAAAACCCTTACATACAGTGAAGGAAAGAATTATTTGATCCCCTGCTGATTTTGAATGTTTGCCACTCACAAAGAAATGATCCGTCTAAAAATTGAATGGTAGGTGTATTGTAATACTGAGACAGAATAGCAACAAAAAATTCAAAAGAAATGAATGTCTAACAAATTATGCTCTGATTTGCATGTTCATGAGGAAAATAAGTATTTGATCCCCTATCATTTAGCTGGATTTCTGGCTACCAGGTGTCTTTCATACAGGTAACAAGCTGAGATTAGAAGCAGTCTCTTAAAGGGAGTGCTGCTAATCTCATTTTGTTACCTGTATAAAAGACACCTGTCCATAGTAGTAATCAAACCATCCTATTCCAAACTCTCCACCATGGCAAAGACCAAAGAGCTGTCCAAGGATATCAGGGACAGGATTGTAGACCTACACAAGGCTGGACTGGGCTACCAAACTATCGCCAAACAGCTTGGTGAGAAGGTGACAACAGTTGGTGCAATCATTTGCAAATGGAAGAAACACAAATCAACTGTCGGTCTCCCTAGGTCTGGTGCACCATGCAAGATCTCACCTCGTGGAGTGTCAATGATCATGAGAGCAGTGAGGAATCATCCCAGAACTACACGTGAGGCTCTTGTCAATGATCTCCAGGCAGCTGGGACCACAGTCACCAAGAAAACAATTGGTAACACACGCCGACAAGGATTGAAAACCTGCAGTGCCCGCAAGGTCCCTCTGCTCAAGAAAGCACGTGTCCAGGCCTGTCTGAAGTTTGCCATTGAACATCTGAATGATGCAGAGTAGGACTGGTTGAAAGTGGTGTGGTCAGGTGAGACCAAATCGAGCTCTTTGGCCTCAACTCGCTGTGTTTGGAGGAGGAGGAATGCTGCCTATGACCCCAAGAACGCCATCCAAACTGTCAAACATGGTGGTGGAAACATTCTGCTTTGGGGGTGTTTTTTTTTTTTTTTTTTTGCTAAGGGGACAGGACAACTGCACCGCATCAAAGGGACGATGGACGGGGCAACGTACCATCAAATCTTGGGTGAGAACCTTCCTCCCTCGGCCAAGGCAACAAAGGAGTGGCTCAAGAAGAAGCACATTAAGGTCCTGGAGTGGCCTAGCCAGTCTCCAGACCTTAATCCGATTGAAAATCTGTGGAGGGAGCTGAAAGTTCGAGTTGCCAAATGTCCGCCATCAAACCTTAATGACTTGGAGAGGATCTGCCAAGAGGAGTGGGCCAAAATCCCTCCTGAGATGTGTGCAAACCTGGTGGCCAACTACAGAAAACGTCTGACCTCTGTGATTGCCAACAAGGGATTTGCCACCAAGTACTAAGTCATGTTTTGTGAAGGGGATTAAATACTTATTTCCTTCATGAACATGCAAATCCATGCATAATTTGTTAGACATGCATTTCTTTTGAATTTTTTGTTGCTATTGTGTCTTTCAGTGTTACAATACACCTACCATTCGATTTTTAGACTGATCATTTCTTTGTGAGTGGGCAAACATTCAAAATCAGCAAGGGATGAAATACTTATTTCCTTCACTGTATACCTAGTGTAGAGACCGACCTCAGGTGATACACAGAGATGAAACAAATCCTTTCCTGCTACATAAGTTGTATTTGTCTATCTGCAGTCTTCTCTTTCTCTGTTCAAGGTGCTGAATTTATAAAGCTTGTCTGCTATTTCAGAATAAAGTGGGAGGAGAACTGAAGTTACACTCTGCAGAGCTCAGTGAGTTCAGAGAGCTGATTTGAGCGAAGAGACTCACCCCCTTTCACATAGCTCACAGGAACAGAGCTGAGCCTGTCACTCTGCTGGAGCTCCTTCCCGTTGCCATTTTTTCCTCTTGGTGTCAGGAAAACTTGTCAGAAGCTGATTAGCAGAGAAAGGAAGGTGGTAGACGTAAATGACACTTAGTGTTCTTAATTAAGACAAGTACACACTATAGAGGAATATGCGCGTTGTTGTTCATATTTCATGTCTGAGGTTTACAACCACTTTAAGGTTAAGGGCCTGGTGTGTGTATGTATAATAAATAACTCACTCTCCAACTTTGTGTGGCCTTCAGATTAGCACAACAACAGTGCATAGAGAGCGTCATGGAATATGTTTCCATGGCCAAGCAGCTGCATCCAAGCCTTACATCACCAAATGTCAGATGAATTGGTGTAAAACACACCGCCACTGTACTCTAGAACAGTGGAGATGTGTTCTCTGGAGTGACGAATCACGCTTCTCTATCTGGTAATCCGATAGACGTGTCTGGGTTTGGCGGTTGCCAGGAGAATGGTACTTGCCTGACTGCATTGTGCCAAGTGTAAAATTTGGTGGATGGAGGATTATGGTGTGGGGTTGTTTTTCAGGGGTTGGGCTTGGCCCCTTAGTTCCAGTGAAGGGAACTCTTAAGGTGTCGGCACACCAGGACATTTTGGACAATTTCATGCTCCCAACTTTGTGGGAACAGTTGGGGGATGGCCCCTTCCTGTTCAAACATGACTGTGCACCAGTGCACAAAGCAAGGTCTATAAAGACATGGATGAGCAAGTTTCAGGTGGAGGCACTTGCTGGCCTGCACAGAGTCCTGACCTCAACCCGATAGAACACCTTTGGAATGAATTAGAGCAGAGACTGCGAGCGAGGCCTTCTCTCCTGACATCAGTGCCTGACCTCACAAATGCGTATCTGGAACAATGGTCAAACATTCCCATAGACACATTCCTAAACCTTGTGCACAGCCTTCCCAGAAGAGTTGAAGCTGTGTTATAGCTGCAAAAGGGTGGGCCAACTCCATATTTAACCCTACGAACTAAGACTGGGATACCTTTTTAAAGTTCATGTACGTGTAAAGTCAGGCGTCACAATACTTTTGGCAATATAGTGTGTGTGTGTCTCTATATCTCACAGAAGTGAGTACACCCCTCACATTTTTGTAATATTTTATTATATCTTTTCATGTGACAATACTGAAGAAATGACAATTTGCTACAATGTAAAGTAGCGAGTGTACAGCTTGTATAACAATGTAAATTTGCTGTCCCCTCAAAATAACTCCACACACAGCCATTAATGTCTAAACCGCTGGCAACAAAAGTGAGTACACCTTTAAGTGAAAATGTCCTAATTGGACCCAGTTATCCATTTTCCCTCCTTGTTGTCATGTGACTCGTTAGTATTACAAGGTCTCAGGTGTGTTAAATTTGGTGTTCTTTCTCATACTGGTCACTGGAAGTTCAACATGGCACCTCATGGCAAAGAACTCTGAGGATCTTAAAAAAAAGAATTGTTGCTCTAGAAGAAGATTGCCAAGACCCTGAAAATGAGCTGCAGCACGGTGGCCAAGACCATACAGCGGGTTTAACAGGAAGGTTACACTCAAAACAGGACTCGCCATGGTCGACCATGGGTGAGTGCACACGCTCAGTGTCATATCCAGAGGTTGTCTTTGGGAAATAGACATATTAGTGCTGCCAGCATTGCTGCAGAAGTTGAAGGGGTAGGGGGTCAGCCTGTCAGTGCTTAGACCATACTCCGCACACTGCATCAAATTGGTCTGCATGGCTGTCGTCCCAGAAGGAAGCCTCTTCTAGAGATGATGCACACAAGAACGTCTACAAATTGTTTGCTGAAGACAAGCAGACTAAGGACATAGATTACTGGAACCGGATGAAACCAAGATAAACTTATTTGGTTCAGATGGTGTCAAGCGTGTGTGGTGGTAACCAGGTGAGGAGTACTAAGACAAGGGTTTCTTGCCTACAGTCAAGCATGGTGGTAGGAGTGTCATGGTCTTGGGCTGCATGAGTGCTGCCGGCACTGGGGAGCTACAGCTCATTGAGGGAACCATGAATGCCAACATGTACTGTGACATACTGAAGCAGAGCATGATCCCCTCCCTTCGGAGACTGGGCCGCAGGGCAGTATTCCAACATAATGACCCCAAACACACCTCCAATATGACCACTGCCTTGCTAAAGAAGCTGAGGGTAAAGGTGATGGACTGGCCAAGCATGTCTCCAGACCTAAACCCTATTGAGCATCTGTGGGGCATCCTTAAATGGAAGGTGGAGGAGCGCAAGGTCTAACATCCACCAGCTCCGTGATGTCGTCATGGAGGAGTGGAAGAGGACTCCAGTGGCAACCTGTGAAGCTCTGGTGAACTCCATTCCCAGGAGGGTTAAGGCAGTGCTTGAAAATAATGGTGGCCACACAAAATATTGACACTTTGGCCCAATGTGGACATTTTTCACTTAGGGTTGTACTCACTTTTGTTGAGTTATTTTGAGGGGACAGCAAATTTACACTGTTATACAAGCTGTACACTCACTACTTTACATTGTAGCAAAGTGTCATTTCTTCAGTGTTGTCACATGAAAAGCTATAATAAAATATATTCAAAAGTGTGTGTGGGTGGGTGGAAAATTCTTGGCGGTTTATTTGCAGAAAACAGCAACTGGGAACTATCATTTTATGGCATGTATAAAAAATATATACCGTATTTTCCGGCGTATAAGACGACTGGGCGTATAAGACGACCCCCTACCTTTCCTGTTTAAAATGTAGTGTTTGGGCTATACTCGCCGTATAAGACTACCCCTCTTCCAGTGCACACCAGTGGGAAGAATCATGCCCCATCATTGGTGTCAGTGGGAGGAATAGTGCCCCATCATTAGTATTAGTGGGAGGAATAGTGCCCCATCATTGGTGTCAGTGGGAGGAATAGTGCCCCATCATTGGTGTCAGTGGGAGGAATAGTATAACATCATTGGTGTCAGTGGGGGGGGGGGGAGGAATAGTATCCCATCATTGGTGTCAGTGGGGGGTGGAATAGTGCCCCATCATTGGTGTCAGTGGGGGGTGGAATAGTGCCCCATCATTGGTGTCAGTGGGGGTGGAATAGTGCCCCATCATTGGTGTCAGTGGGGGGGGGGGGGGGGAAAAAAGTGCCCCATCGTTGGTGTCAGTGGGGGGGAGGAAAAGTGCCCCATCGTTGGTGTCGGTGGGAGGAATAATGCCCCATCATTGGTATCAGTGACACCAACGATGGGGCACTATTCCTCCCACTGACACTTGCTGACTCCTGTTCCAGTATGGTGCTGCTGCAGCCAGCATATGTGGTTGCAGCAGCACCTAAGCACGGCACACTTACCTGCATCTCCACTCGATTTTCGCGGGGCCGCTCAGCTCCGCCTCCTCGCCGGTGATTGGCAGCCTGTGTGCCTTTCCTGAGCTACAATTCTGGCCGCCAATCACCGGTGAGGAGGCGGAGCCGAGCAGCCGCGCGAACATCCAGTGGACGAACCGAAGGAAGGAGCAGCCGCGCTTCCTGGACCGGATCGTCGTGGGATCCGGAGCCAGGTAAGAGACAGCAGCCCCTGCCCACCCCATGTACTTAGTTTCCCTTCTGTTGGAAGGGGGGGGGGGCGGCGGCGGCACCGCGCCGCCCCCCTAAAAAGTGTCAGCATGCCGTTACCACGGCGTATAAGACGACCCCCGACTTTTGGGAAGATTTTCAAGGGTAAAAAGTCGTCTTATACGCCGGAAAATACGGTATGTGTGTTGCGCTCCACAGTGAATTTGTGATATCTATGTAAAATTAATAAATATGCAAAATAAATATAGTGATATAATAAATTAATAAAAATCATTAATTCCAAAACAATCTATAAAAAATGTGCTAGTTTAGTATAATATACATCTATATATGTGCAAAGTCCACAAGAAAATCAAATCCAATATAAATGAAAATCCATTAAAATTGAAAGAGTGCTTGTATCCAGAAACACCACTTGTTAATTTTTCACAATGTGCACTTCGTGAGTAAGTGCACATGGAGAAAAATTACCAATTTATATTTTTGGCATGCGGTCACAGTTCCATCAGCAGGAACTACTGTCTATAATTAAAACGTATTAGCTAGCCTCTAATGGGCATGATCATGTGCATTTCAATAAATGTCTATATGATCACATTAATTTTAGTTTTTCTAAGCAATCTAGTGTTGTTTGAGGCGATTTCCTAATTAGCCGTTTATTCCTTTTTCCACTCCCAAGGATCGGTATGCTGACTTGCGCATTTATGGTTATGTCGATGAGGTGATGGCACAACTTATGCAACATCTAGATATTAAAATACCTATATGGACTGGCATATCTACTAAAATAGAATCAAGTGAGCACAATCCTGAATCCAAAGTGGTATCAAACTGTAACGGAGATCTGGCTTCTTTAGAGTGCAAAGAGAGTAAGCGGGAATGTTGTGTCGAGATCTCCAGTCTGCCAAAGCAAAGTTGAAATCAATTGTGTATGGCTGCATATATGTGCTTTCAGGGTGTATATATGCTTGTTTTAGTGTATAAATATGTATTTTTCTTCATAAGGATTAGTTATCCTAAATTGTAAGTTTCCTTCAAGAGAAGAATAAAATATACCGCCAAAACCATGAAAAAACCTATGTTGATGATTTGGCTAATTGATGTACGTGGTATGTACTTCTTTCAGATGTGTTATGGGAGTTCTTTACAGAACTGCCATACATTCCCTCCTTAGACCATGGTGCATTTGTTTACGATTTTGGAACTGTCCAACGAACTTGTGTTCATTTGACCCCAGATTCCACACATAGAGTCCCACAAAATAACCAGTACAAATGTCATCAAATATTCTCCATCACAAGGAATATAATAAAATACTGCAGGTGTACATTTTACAGACTTTAGACCATTACATGAGTACTTCATGAGCATATGCTCACAACCTTATTTCCCTGTCCTATATTAAGAGCTGTTTCTGTTTTTGAGCACAAAGGGATAATCCCCCCTTCTTTTTTTTTTTTTTCTCTCTCAACTCATTAGAAATCTTTCATACATAATACTGTATAGGTATACATACGCTCCTCTCCATAATTTACAACCTGCAACTTGTCAAACTCTCACAGGTTACCACTTGTTTTCCTGGCCTTTCCACTACACTCCTTGCTTCCAGCAATCTGCAATTGCTTTCAATAGTATAATGCTTCTATGCCTCAAAATCTTAACTCTTGGCCACTCCATTAAACTGCTCACCCTCCATAAGCCCTAGCTGTTAATGGCAAATAGCTCATCTCCTGCTTGAACCCATGATTTCCCCTCAGCTCATCTGTTCTCACTTTCTCTGTGCAAGCTCTGTGTGCTTCACCACAATATCTCTATACAACACATCTTTCATATCCTCAGCACCTCACTATCCCACTTCTAGATGCTTTACTACATTCTTTACCTCCTGTGCCCTGTTTCAATCTGCACTACACCCATGTTTCCCTAAATTCCGAACTACACGCTTCTTACTGTTCCCAATTAGATATAAGCTCTTTTTGCTACTCTGTAACATGCTATTCCTCCCCCATTCCTCATTATGTACTGCTAGTAATATGGATCCCTGTGAAGGCTGAGATTGAACTCTGCAGTCACTTTTGCAGCAGTTTGTTTTCTTATTCCAGGTCACAATCCTGCGCAGTGTCCTCTTGTATCTTTCAGCCAGTTGACTGCACTTATGCTTATCAGACATTTTCCCGTAAACTATATATGCCGTCATAACCTTTCCTACTGTACCTCACAACACAGCAAATAAATTGGCAACTTCAGTCACAGAAGCACCAGCTAAGCTGGCACCAATAATTTGCCCTCTTAAAGCTTTGAAAGCTCTGACAAGACTCCGTATTACTAGCCATGCATGTAGTGAGTGGTGAAAGTTATGCTTTCCACCTGTTAACTAGGTGTCTTATCACACAGCGAAAGCAGAAGAGTGTTGCATCACTTCCGCTTTCAAAGCATAACATGTCACTTTCACACCTGCAAACCATGTAGTTTCCTTTTTTTCTTTTTTTTTTTTGGTCCAACCCCAATAATGTGCACTTGACAAATTGACCTAACAAAGAGGCAGTCTGTCTCAAAATGCGTTATCATGGCAACCGGAATCTCAGCATAGTTCAGAGGTGTTAGTGTTGAAGAGGAGTCCAGTCTGTTTCCTGGTTACATCCCTGTTCATTGTTTGCTGACATCCTGCCACTCTGCTTTGCCTTGATGGTCTGGCTGTCAGCATGTCCAGATTAGAGATGAGAAGGCCTGAAGAAAAAAAAAAAAAACTTTTTTTTTTTTTTTTTTCCCCAAAGCCATTTTTTTTACCAGAAACATTGAAAATAAAAGTGTGTGAAATATGTTATTTTACAATGGTAATATGTTTGACATGGTATTCAATCTATATAGCATGAAGACCTCCAGTGAAAAATTATGTATGTAAAGTCTTAAAATATTGCAAGTTTTCTCAGCTGAAGACAAGCGAATCCTGAAATACAATTCAAGTAACACTGTAGTTATCACTGACGTTCTCAGACAAGAGAAATATGCATTTCTACCACTAGGCTTCATCCTGTGCTACCTACAGTTGGTGATTGTTGGGATACAGTAGATGATGGTTTTTCTGTCCTTTATCTCAGGCCTCAATTGAGAGGTAAGAGGGTACAATTTACAAATTATTATATCTTTAAAACCTATAGTCTGTTCAGTAAATTGTTTGTATTTTCTTTTCCTTCTCCCAGTAAAATGGTGAGACCAACATCTAGAGTTTTGAAACATTTCCGTGGTGCATTTTCTACTGAGAGCAAAGCTACGATGTAAAAATATTGTGAGAAGAAATATTCTCTTCCAAGTGCTACATGGATGACCAAACACATCCTTACATGCCCGAGGTGCCCTAATCCCTCGTCCACACTAGTGCGTGGTGTGCAGTCCCGCGGTTTCTTGGGCATGACAGCCCATGTATTGAATGGGCTGCTGTGCCCGCGTTTCACACAAGGAAAAGGATCATGTACCCTTTCCAAAACGCATCATCTTTTTTGACCATGCGGCTCCTGCAGTCACGCTGCAGGATGAGATGTGTGGTGATGACAGAATGAATACACAAATTAAAAATGCAAGTAACGTTTCCCTCTAGGATTTTCTGTCCAGAAACTCTGCTTTTGGTGTAGTTTTATTTAACGGTTTCTAGCCCTTTTTTGCTTATTAGGGAAAGGTGGGTGGTTACCTGTTCTGTCATGTATAGTTGAAATGTTCTTTACATATACAGTCTTTGTTATTCTATTTGTAATTAAAAAAAAAAAAAAAAAGATTTTAAAAAGCAAATTTAGTTTATGTACTGTATAAGCTGTACTTTTATTTCACGCATAATGCTTTTATATACACTGCATTTCACATTCCCAGTGTAACACAATGATTTTCCAATTTATATAACTATTTTACACTGACTTTTTTTTTTTGTCTTTGAAAATTTTAAAAAATTTGTGTTTTTTTTTTTTTTTTAATTTTTTTTTTTTTGGGGAAAAAACGGAGAAATTGTGGACTTTGATGCCATTATGAGACTTTGCATTTATCTTATTGTAATCCATGCTAATTTATTTAGCATTACATTTTTTTTTAGAATACTCCCATAAATTTCATTTTTCTAATCCATTTATTTTCAGAACATTTTTAACATGTATGTTCATATATATATATAATACACAATTTTTATGGGCTCAATTCACGAAAGGGTATCGTATCGCATGCAGGATTTGAGCCATGCAATATTGAAAATGTCAATTCACTATCTCTTTATGCATTCTTAACCTCAAAAAGCCAAACAATGTCAACGTCAGTTCACTGAAGTAAATAAGTGCATGTGTCAAATAAGTAGTGGCCTGTGCATGCAAAAGTTAAGGAATGTATGAACTTTCAGCTTGTTGTTAAGGAGTCGACACCCACTGCGTCCTTAACACTTATGTACTCCATACTCATTCACATGGGAGGGATGGGATCAGGGGCCCCTTGATAAAAGGGCCTTCCAGATTTCAGTAAGTTGCCACCCACAACCATCGGTTCAGGGTTAAGGGAAAGAGTCCCTAGTCTTCATAAACGAGGTGCTTGGGGTGAGCTTCCCTCCCCCATGTTGAGGGCATGTGGCCTGGTATAGTGCAGAAAGGGTGGCGAATGTTCTCACTCGTCACACCCCACATTCCCCCCCCCCCCCCCCCCCCCCAACCCCCTTGTCTGGCTTCATGCTTGGCTAAGGGTTTGGAATGGATTTTGAGGGGGACCTGATGCCATTTTCTAATTTTTGGCGTGAGGTTCCCCCCAAGAAAAATCCATAGCAGACCCAAAGAGCCTAATATGGTTTTAGGGGAGTGCTGTTTTGTGCTTTCTTTTTTTACATTTTTTTTTACCCTGGCTCTTTTGCATACATTCTGTTGCCCGCTGACTGCAGAACAACAGATGTCATGGTATAAAGCAGTAAATATACGAGTGCTGGGTAACATCTAAAACAACAAACAGGATAAGCAGCCAGCAAAATAAGAGGGAATGCCTTAAATCCTCCAATAATATACAAAATAATCAATAAAATGCAGCGCTAAAGTATACAGATTAAAATGACGTAAATAAATAAATGAAAGCCCTTTTATAATGTGTAATTACACGAAACGCGTCAGAGAGACCCCCCCCTGTGCATGGATTACTGACCTATTATGCTACTCTATTATAAATTCCTGGATGTAAGTGTCCGTTTTTTTACTTGTTTATAAATTGTAACTCCACTTGTCTAATAAATACTACACTATTGGAGTTTTTTCTTTTTCTCTGGGCTCATTTTTTTTTAGAGTTTGTGAGCCCCCCCTTTCCTTCAAGGTGGAACATGGTAGGCGACTTACACTTAAGTGTATGATCTCCCCGGTGGCTGAAATCCGTACCACATGATGTATCTAATATGATGATTATACACTACACTGTAATGAGGAAATCTGCCTTGGTCTGATGACATCTGGTGACTCAACTCCACCTGACGACTTCACCTGTTTGCAGAGTTCCCGCTTCCAGGGTACCTTGGAGTAGGTCTTATTTACTCCAATGCACAAAAACTATGTGCTATCGGGTTAGTGCATTGTATACTCATTCTCCACAGCCACGGAAGTCACGATAATCTAACAGCTATTTAATGAACCACGATTATTACATTGCACCTTTTTCTAAAGATGTCATGGTAGTTAAACTTGTGGTTCTAAAGTTCTGAGTGAAGGTTTTCTACCTTCATACATTCTATGCATGAAGGTAAAAAACATAGGTAAATATTAGAGGGAGCTGGGAGCCCACACCTGAGTCCAATCTCTCCCTCCTCATTGGTTAGACACAGCAGTGTGAGAGGAGGGTGCCAGCAGCGGCCACCAGTCACGAGGTGACCTCAGTGCCGTCTAATGAAAAATCCGTGACCCCTAATTAGATCAGTGGGGC